TGGCCAAACATTATTAGTGATCAGACTTTTGGTGGTGAAAAGTCACAACTGAAAAATAAAAGAATTATCTCATGTTACATCAACTGACACCTTATGCCACATCATCTGTCATATGTGCATCTCTTCATGCCACAACACATGCCACGTCACCTGACAATTTGTGTGAAGCCACACCATATCACTACCACGTACTATGCTATATATTCGTTGTGAAATATGCTCAAGTCAAGATTTAAGCCTATGACCTTCACCTTCCAAGCCTTAAGTCTTTTTTTGCCAGTTGAAGTAAAAGGCACTTACAATTATTATATACGAAATTAAATATATATTATTTAATTACATTTAAATATATCAAATAATATATTATTAGAAATATATACATATATATTATATTTTATTTTCATTTATTAATATGATAAAATAATTTATATGGGTGAGAGAGAGAGTGTGTGTGTGTATTATATTTTTAATACGATATTATTTTTTCTGTAGCAAATATTATTTTTGCCAAGAAAATAAACTTAAAATGAAATAATTTTTAAATATTAAATATTTTTTATAAATATTTCAACCAATTTTTAAATTTTATTTTTATTTTTTTAAACAAAAATAATTAAGTATAAAATTTATTTATAACTATGTATTATACTAGTTTACATTAGATATATATCTTTTACTTTATTTCATATTTTTCTCAAAAATTAATGGATTAATGAGCAAAATATACTTTGAACTCTTATTCGAAAAGTGCCATGGATCCTAAACTCTTAAAATATACAAAATAAATTCTAAACTTTTAAATTAGTAGCAAAGTAAACCTTACTGTTATTGTTTTCTAATGCTGTTACTATTCACATGGGCCTCAGTTAATTAGCATCACATGTTTTAAACTATTACGCAAGTAATGTTCTAAACTTTAAACTTTAAAATTTTGAATAAATTACTTCTACCATTTATGTATAGAATGTAAATTATTATACAAATCAAATTAGCCTTAGCGTGGTTCACTGCAGTAAACAACTCATAATTTTGTGAGATGACTTTTTTGCCCTTTTTTTGTAATATTTTTTCCAAATGATTGGTATCTCTCACTTTTGTACACTATAACTTTAATTTAGTCTTATGTTGAATAATATTTTTTTATTTAATGGTGAAAACTTGAAATTCTATTTGAAAAGAAGTTTAAGTATCATAGGATTTTACAGACGATAAATGTAAAAGCTGAGTTCATCAACGAATTTAAAACTCAAAGTAACCGGTTAATTAAAATTCTTTGATAGTTAAACTTCTTTGCCAATGAGATCCCAAGTTTTTACCAGTAAATAAAAATATTATTTAAAATAAGACTAAATCAAAGTTCTAGAATGTATGGAAGCATGAAAAAAGCTAAAATCATATGTTAAACAAAAAATCTAAATTAAAAATCAAGGTGGATATTTCATAATCAAAATAAAAAGAATCTTGTCTTGACTTGATCTAAATTAATTTAGACTTTCATTAAAGTCTCTTTAACAGAGTTAATCTTAAGATAATAGGGAATGCTTTCTAATAACTTTACAATTTAAAATAAATAATCCATAATAACTTTATACAAAATTTGATCCATAATTCAAATATTAACATAAATAAACAATCAAGTTTACAATTCTCATCCAATATTAATCCCAACAAATTTAACATTAACAAATTAAAAAATTTGAATAATTTGAAGAATAAGAACCAGATGAGGAAACACTATCACAAAATACCAACATACTTGATGCTTATTTTTGTTAATACTTGATGATTTTTAACAATCAAGTAATAGTGCAACGTATATTATAGCTAACTTTACTTGACGATTCTTCACCTATTTTATTTGTTTCTTATTTTAAATAATCATCAAATATGGAGAGTCTTATTTAAATAATTCTGTAGTAGTGAAAAGTAGAGCACAGCAAACAAAATTTGATCCATAATTCAAATATTAACATAAATAAACAATCAAGTTTACAATTATCATCCAATATTAATCCCAACAAATTTAACATTAACAAATTAAAAAATTTGAATAATTTGAAGAATAAGAACCAGATGAGGAAACACTATCACAAAATACCAACATACTTGATGCTTATTTTTGTTAATACTTGATGATTTTTAACAATCAAGTAACAGTGCAACGTATATTATAGCTAACTTTACTTGACGATTCTTCACCTATTTTATTTGTTTCTTATTTTAAATAATCATCAAATATGGAGAGTCTTATTTAAATAATTCTGTAGTAGTGAAAAGTAGAGCACAACAAACAGAGTAGATACCATGTATATACCAAGCTGAGCATCAAGTGTACAATGTATTAAATAGTCTGCAATGCCATTTATATCTTACAACATATATACAACTTTAACATTCCAATTCTATTTATGTATATGTAAGTAAGTAAGTATTTATGTATAACTTAACTCGATTACAATTTAAAGAAATTTTTTGAAATCATTCATAAAAAATTATAAAAAATTTCATTTATAATTTATATATAACTTAGCTTGATTATGTATACTAGCTTAATAAGATCATTACTAAAAAATAATCCATAAAAAATTTTTTTGAATGTAATTATTAAAATAAGTCATTATTAAAATACTAGCTTAACAAGCTCATTATTTTTAAAAGTAATCATTACTGATCTTATATATAATTTATTTCTTATTCTATATATAAATACCTTTAGTGGCAACAAATTTTGTTGCTAAAAGTAATTATGTAAATTAATTTTTACAAAAATATTTTCTAATTTTTTTATGAAAATACTTTTAGCGGTGACAAACTGTTGCTGATAAAAGTAATTACATAAGTTATTTTTATTTTTTAATTATTTTTTATGAAAATACTTTTGATGGCAATGAACTGTCTTTGTTAAAAGTAATTGTATAAATTATTTTTAATTTTATAATTATGTTTTTATGAAAATACTTTTGGCTGCAACAAACTGTCGTCACTACAAGTAATTTTTAGTGGCGGCAATTAATAGTCACCGCTAAAAAAGGGCATTTGGTAGCAACATTTAAAAGTCACTACTAAAAATTTACTTTTGATAGCAACTTTTAGCAACAAGCCAAAGATTAACTTTTAGTGGTGACTTATAATTGTAACCGCCAAAAGTAAACATTTAATGGCAACTTTTTTGGTTGTTGTTAAAAGTTACCACCAAACAATTTTTTTTTTTTTTTTGTGGTAGGGCTCGCTGGTCAAATAAGAGCTATACATGGGGCAAATTCAAAAGTCTGAAGAGAGAGCAGCGAATCAAGTGGAATTTGGGGGGAAAAAAGTAACTCTGAAAAATTTCACTGAACAGGTTCCATGGGATGTTTTCTTTGGATATGTTTGCTTGGATATGATGTTCAAGATGTAAAAGAGTTTTTTGGGACAACGAGGTAGAGGATGGGATTTGGAATTGCAACTTGGGTTAAATGAAAAACTAGCCCTTTAAATTGTAGGTTCAAGAATATATGGGATCTTAAACTAATTTTTGATACAATATTCTTCTTCAACTTTTAAAACTGATGCAATCTGACCCTTATTATTAACAAAAATTAACTTTAACTATTAATTGATCAGAAAATGATATATAAAAACCTCAAAAATTATAGTAAATGATCCAAAAATTAAAAACAAATTAAAGACAAAAAAATTGAGAATCAAGAAAATTTTATTGATCTTTTTTTATATTTTTTATGTCATTTTTTAACATCTTTTGGTCAATCAATGATTAAAATTAACTTTTATTAACTGTAAGAGTCAGGTTATATATTTTTCAAAGGTTAAAAAAAATTACGCCAAATAGGTTCTAGACTCCTGAATCTATAGTTTATGATCCAATTTACTCTTTTATCCTTGAAACTTTACATAAGGCAAAAACATATCAAAATTTCTCGCAATAGTCTTATGCTTTTAGAGTGCACACAAGATTATTTCAAGAGCTTTGGGTAAAACCAGAGGTTAATGCTATGGATTTGGATGTTGATGGCTCTTAAAAAGATGGTAGCGGCAAATGTGGATGAGTGATTCGAGACAGTGCAGAATGGGGATAATTGGTTTTAATGCAAATATTGGCACTTACTTCACCTATAACATAGATGATTGGTATTATTTATGGTCTTCGTTTGTGCTACAAAAACTTTTGTCGCATTCTTGTTTTTGCTTATTGCATGTGTTGAAGCTATTAATCTTATTGTAATATGTGACATAGTGAATCATCCTTTTAAAGACATTATTGAACAAACTATGATGCTTTTGTTTAGAGTGTTATGTTTCATTACATTTTATGTACATGAAGCTAATTTTTGTACCCCCTTCTTTAGCTGCAAATATTAAAGATTGAGTTGAATACTATTATACCTTTGATCAACCCCTACTTTTTTTTTTTCCCCGGAAGAAAGTTGGTGGAGGAGATAATAAGAACTTGTCTAGTATACTCTAACTAGTTGTAAACTTTTGATTAATGAATCTAAGTTTCATTCAAAAATATGTCTTGAACTGAGGCAAAGAAATGGAAAAACGTGAGACCGAACCCATTATCCTGTTCCTCAAGAGGAAAATGCCAAATTTATTTAAAAACAAATAGAAGTTCAAAATTAGGATAAAGCTCAGTGCCTCCCTAGCTGATAACACCAAGGCTGATGAGAGCCAAAATAATTGATGCTGTGATTAAGTGGTTAGGTATATATACTGGTTATTTTTGTAGAAAAAGTAAGAGTATTAATATTTTTAAATTAACACAAGAAGTTTATTGTCAAATCCAGAGTGTTGGGCATATATATGCACAATATAAGAAACATTTACTGATATTGGAAGACTAATATTCGATAAGTATGTCACTTTTTTCCTAGATCAAACTAACAACAGTCTATAATACAAATCACAAAGATGTGACATTGGATTATATATACAAGAAAACAGATGCAATGGTAAATGCACATACGACTATGAAAGTAATTATTGGAGAAAATTAAAGTTTAAACTATCTTGAGTTGTCCAAGTGTGATATTGCCAAATTGGTTCACAGAATAATGGTTAGGCCCCTCAAGTTCCAAACATACTCGTTCCATGGTTGGACGACAGTGAGGACTTTCATTCAAACAAGCAAGAGTTATTTTCACAATCAACATTACTTCCTCAGCAACCAAGTTTGAGGGTGGACGAAGTCGTTGGTCTAACACATCCTTAAGTGGCAGATTATACATTGTTGAAATCTCTCTCAAAGAATAAATAAGCTCCCCTGAATGTCTTCCAATTAAGATTTCCAATGCAAGAACTTCAAAACTATATACATCACATTTCTCATTTGCTTGCATTGTTAAAGCACTCTCTGTACCATGCATTAGAATGGCGTAGTATGGAATGATAAAAAAAAGTTGCTTGGCTATAGAGAAAGTGGCCTTGCCTGGAGTTGCAGGGCTAAAAGCACCAACAAATGAGGTTATGTTGTTCGAGTCAAGCTTTAGAAACTTGGCTATTCCAAAATCAGTGATGTGAGCTTCTCAATATTTTGAATCTAATAGAATGTTCTTGCTTGATATATCACGATGAACTATAGGACATGAAAGACCATGATGCATATGGAATAATGCATTAACCACACCTCTAACAACATTCACCCTCTTGGCCCAATCTAGAGTAGTTGCTTGCTTATCATTTTGTAAAATATTATCCAAGCTACCACCTTAAAAGAACTCATAAATCAAGAATGATAGGCATGAATTTGAAAAAAACCCAAGTAACCTCACTATGTTACGATGTTTGATTTCAGTCAATGCTTGAATTTCACTAGAAAACTCTTTTAGATTAGAGGAATATGTATTACAATGTGAATGAAGCTTCTTTACAGCAAAAAAAATTGACCTTCAAGTAATTCAACCTTGTAAACACTTCCCTGTGCTCCCACACCAATAAGATATTTGTCATTAAAATCCTCTGTTGACTCAATAACTTTTTCATGCGAAATTCTCCCATCAAAAAACCAAATGGAGAAAAAAAGTAGATTTAGTGCTTCTCCATCTTGGCTTTTGGTTTGCTTTGACTTTTGAATCATAATACAAGACACTCCACCTGCTATTAGTACTAAAGCTGTAAAAGATAATAGTAACAGCATCAATAGCTTCAGTATTTGATTCATATGACCATGCTGGTTATTGATACTTTTATTGCAATGCTCCAACCGAGTAACATTACCACATAAACCAATGTTGTTCCTTACTGCCTCAAATGTAATGCTTTGAAAGGCAAGATTGTTTGGAAGAGGTCCTACTAAATGGTTGTATGATATATCAACAATTGTCAAGCTTGACATGTCATCTAAATTGGATAGAATGGTTCTAAAGATGTAATTATGCGAAATGTTCAAAATTCGTAGCATCTTCAGTGCTCCAAGTGTTCTGAGTATTATTCCCCTTAACATATTCTCACTAAGATCAAGTTCTTACATTGCGTGTAACCGACCAAACTCAATGGGAATGCTTCCTCCAAATTTATTTTTGCTCAAATTTAAGAGCCATAACCTATAAAATCCTCTAAGATTTTTGGGGATTGAGCCAATGAATTTATTTGCTGCCAACTCCAATTGTTCAAGTTGATTTAGCGATTCTATTTCTGTTGGAATCTTGCCTGAAAATTGATTGTTTCTCAAAGAAAGTCTAGTCAATGAGATCATCTTTCCCAATTCTTTTGGAATTTCTCCTGTCAACTGATTTGAAGAGACATTAAATTCCCCAAGATTGGTTGCCTCTCCAAGTTCTGGAGGTATACTACCAGACAGATTGTTGTTGGAAATCCTAAGTGATGTAAGATTATGACACTTTCCCCACTTTGATGAAATGTGGCCATAAATTTTATTGCCACTCAAATCAATGTATTTCAAATGTGGGTATACACCAAAATCAATTGTTATATTTCCAACCAATATGTTGTTATCTAGTCTAAGTCTGATAAGGCTAGAACAATTCTTCAAGGTGTTTGGAATAGGGCTAGTGAATTTGTTTGCACATGAAGTGAAATGTTCAAGTGATCTACTAAGGCAAACCTGTTGTGGCGAATGGCCAGTGAATTCATTCTTGGTTAGCTCTAAATTTTTCCAGTCAGTAAGGTTATTCATCTCTATTGGAATTGTTCCATTCAGTTTGTTCATGTTCAAACTTAAGACCTTGAGCCGCGTTAGATTTCCTATGGCAGCTGGAATAGGCCAAGAAAGAGTGTTGTTTCCAAGCTTGAGGTCTTCTAATTTGACCACGTTTCCTATAGATGATAGAAATGGACCATGCAAGTTATTATTTGACATTTGCAAACTAATGAGAGAATGGAGATTCCTAAATTCAAAAGGAATAGGACCTGAGAAATTATTTTGAAAGAGGGAAAGATATTGTAGTTTGGTTAACTTTCCTGTTGCAGGAGGGATTCTAACATTTAAGAAAGTGTTTCTTTGCAAGGCAAGCACTACGAGATTACTCAGCATTCCAATCTCGTTTGGAATTTTCCCTGTGAGATTATTCCAACTAATAGAAAGCATATTCAGAGTAGTCAACGCTCCTATTTCTCGAGGGATAGAACCACTCAAGAAATTATGACTCATATTGAGCGTATGAATACTAGACAAATTGCTGATTTGGCAAGGAATAATTCTTGAGAACTTGTTCTGACTGATGTCTAGAGCTCGAGGTTTAGTAAATGATGAGGAGTTGAGACTGTGAAGTATACCTTGTATTCCCAACCTTGTAAGATTTATGGTGGAGGCAGACATGGATTCATCACATGTAATTCCTTTCCAATTTTTGCAAGGATCTGTTCCATTCCAAGAAGACAAGGTAGCTTGGCTTTGAATCTCAAGGGTAGATTTCCACTTTAGAAGAGCATTTGCTTCATCACCACCAGCTGTGAAGGATGAAGAAATAGCAAAGAAGTGCAGATGAAGAATATGGAGATAATCTGCCATTGTGTAACAAGTGATGGAATAATTGAATCAACCTTTTTGAAGTTCAACACCATGACTTGGCTATGCCTTCTCAATGTTGAATTAAACTGAACTCACAGAGAAGCATATGAATGCGTGTAAATGATAGTCAGGTGGTCTATTTATGAATAAAAAAGGTATCTGTACTGTTCCCCATCGTGTGGTAGAAGAAAAGTCATCATGGTAATAGCGGCGGGTAGGTTCTTCCTTTCTTCAACAACAGCTTGAAGAATATAAATAATAAATTATATATATATATATATATATATTATATACACGTTACAAGTTGTTCTATCTATAATTTTGGGCAGTACAATTTATTTTATAAAATATTTTAACTGGATAAAAATCATGTTTAAATTTAATACTTCTTGTTTATATAATTATTATTAGACTGACTTGGGAGTAGCTCTCCCATAATTTTTTGCATCTATGGACTTCAATTAATATACTCCCTCCGTTTAAAATTGCAAGACATTTTTTGAGAAGTTGGATGTTAAAAAATGTAAGGCATTTTTAGTTTTTTGACGTGTAATCATTGCCTTTTTTTTTTTCCAAAAGTGCCCTTATTGATAATGTAAGAACCAAGAGATGAAACTAAGGTCTCCCTTGCTAAACTACGTTTAACTCTAAATCATGACAATTTAGGGTTTAACCCTCAAAGAATTACCAAATTATAAAATTTCATAAAATAAATTTCTCTAATTCTTTTTGAAAAAAATCCTAAATTCAATATTTTGAATCTCAACATTATTTAATAGTCTCAAATCAGAGTTTTAAAAGCAATGCGGAAGTTTAAAAATTAATTGGGACCCAAAATCATGAGTTTTAAAACTCAAAAAACAGATTTTATATAGAAAATGACATGTGTACTGCAGCTTATGTCATGTGCACTGTGGCTTGTCTTCTCTATGCCATGCGTCGTGGTACATTACATGAATTTTACAGTATTAGCGGGAGCGAACTTTTGATGCATTATAAATCTTCATCCGACGTCCGACTGAGGTGGTTTTGGTGTCTACATGGAGCTTCCTCCTAGCTCTAGCTAATGGCACTAGTTTCATACTCAAACTTATTTTCTATAAAAAGTTGGACACCAAAATTCATTTTGACTACTTTTGCACAAAATTTCACAAACAGGTGTCCCAACTCAACCACTCATGCCAATAGCTCATACCAATCATCTGACTACACTCAATAGACTCTAACGAACCCATGCAATGCACCATACACAATATAAAACACTTATATCATAAAATCACTACTCAACCCCGATTTTCACAAAACACAAAGGGGGAGGAAATGTTGCACAAAATCATCAATTTCATTCCAAATCTTTCAAAATACATATGTTCTTACATAAGTATTTTGGCCCTATCCATGGGTTTACAACTAAAACTCACTAACCCAATTCACAAAATACACAAGTGATACACGAAATCATACAAGTAGTACATAAAACATGTCAAATAATCCTAGTTGGTAAGTACATCAACAAATACATATGAAAGTAACAAAAAGAGGCATAAAGAGAATTTCTCCACAATCTTAGGCCTCTGTGTGTTTTCCCCTATTTGGATCCGATGAGCTAGGTCCTGAAAATATTGAGAATTGAGGGGTGAGTACAATCACCCAGTAACTAAGTTTCACCTAACTCATACAGTTTCATATCAATTGAAATAGATGCAAATAAGTAAATAAACACACATATCACAAATAAACACTTAGCCATAATTCATAAAACTAACAACCATGTGACCAAGCTTACCACAACATACTTTATCATATTATTTCACAAAACATAACATGAGGTTGCAAAAATAACAATTATATGCCCTCAATACATGTCAAACCACAAAATTAATAACCAGGTGGCCGGACTTATATGCAGGATCATATGCCAATCTTATATTCTTCTATTACCTTTGACACGAAACCGGTGGCTACGTCCTTCATGGACTAACCCAACCTTCTACTTGTAAGGAGCTACCGAGTTAGGGCGAACTCACTTACTTATGTAATCCACACTACTACAAAAACTGTCTTTTAGAGCATATCTTTTAGAGCGCTTACGAAAAAAGCACTATTAAATATGAAGGCAAAACTTATAAGAGTACTTTTTAAAATAAAGCACTCCTGTAATATAAGTCTTTATGAGCGCTCAATAAATGAACGCTCCAAAACATTATATAAAAAATTCAAAAAATAAAGTACAAGCTTTTGGGAGCACTCTTTTAAATAGCACTCTAAAAGCCTTCATTTTTTAAGAGTACTCAAGTTTTTAGTGCTCCTAAAGAGCTTATTTTTTAAAAAAATAAAAAAAATTATGAGTTTTTTGAAGCGCTCTTTGAAAAAGAGCTCCCATACTCTATACTGTTCAAGAGCATCTGGAAGAGTATATTAAAAAAATTTAAAAAAAATAGCCTTTGGGAGCGCTCTTTCAAAGAGTGCTCCCATATCATTTATGCTCCAGGAGCGCTCACCACTTGAGCGCTCCTGATGATGATGTTGCAAGGAATTAAAAAATTTATGTTTATTAGCTTTTAGCAGTTCAGATTTGAATTTCTTGGCCATTTTCATTTTTCGTTCTTTCTTTCCCACTTCGTCTCTCAGTCGCACGCCGCAAGAGGCAAATCTTGCCCTGAAACTCTTTGCCGCCACAAGATGCTCGTCAGAACGTGGCTACCGAGTCTTGGTCCTAGATTCAAACCGCCGCACAGCATCGCCAAAGCTGAACGTATCAAAATCACCGGAAGCCTCTGAACTAGTCTCACACCGTCGAGCCTATCCTGCTCGAATCCCCTTACGCCGTCGCTTCAGTCACACCGTTGCCGTTGGGTCTTGCATCGCCATTGGTGAGCTGTTGAGTCTTGCATTGCCGACGGTGGGTACAAAATTTATCATGCTATATATATATATTAAAATGTTGTCAGTCTTCAAAGATGTAGCTCGCTGCGGCCGCCGCTTCAGCTTCCACGAAACCCGCTCGATAGGACCCTGTCAACGCCGCACAGTGCAGTGGTGTATCTCCTCGCTCGTTTACTGCTTCCACCACTGACAACGTCCTCTTTCTCTTGATTTCATCTACCAGCTCCTTCACGATGCCTACTCATTCGTGGTGTTGATTGGTCTCTTGTGTATCCTTTCGTTGCTTTTGTATTCCTCTACAACCTCTACCCATCTCCCTTCTAGTGTGGAAAAATATAAACTCTCCATTTTGCACTGACTCTGCTTGGTGTTGCTCACTTTTGCTTGCTCGATCAACTTCCATTTTATACCAAGCTTAGTAATATCGTCCACTATGCTGGCTACCAAACTCCTTCAACTCATTTCATATACATGTCTGTACAGCGTAAATTTTCAGTAGCTTTCCCTTCTAATCTATATAAATGGGGTTCCTCGTTCTCCTTCCCATATTTTTCTTTTTATGTTCTAGCAAGTGGCTTCTACTCATTGATCTTTTTAAAATTTCCTAGTTCTTAATGTGTTAAACATTCGACAACTGGAGAAACTTCTTATTCTTCATGTCTTCCTATATTTTAGTTCCTTTTCTTATTATTATTTTTACTTAACTTTTCCAACATAGGTGCAAAGTGGAGAAGATGAACTTGAAAAGAAGGTAGATGACAAGATTGAGCAATTTATTAATTGGGTCGAGAAGCATCCAAACAAAAAAAAAGTCAGGTAAACAATTTATTACTTGCTTTTCTATAACCTTTCCCACGTTAACAATTATTCAAGTATACGTTTAGTTAGCTTGGGGTTCTATTTTTGAGGTTTAAAGATATTAGCTGAATACAAATTTTTTAATGTATGATATATATTCTCTTTTATAATACAATCAAAGTATATTGCAATAAGCTACAAAGTGCTATCTCTGGGCATTGCTTTTTTCCCCCTGCCTATTCTAATAGTCTTCTAAATTTTGATGATGCAGATAAGCTTATCTTTCAATGAAGTGAAAAACAAACATGCATGTATATATAAAATTGAATGTACGCTTGTATTGCGAGCAAAGGTATATTGATCTTAATGTAGCCCAGCATCCGAAGCCTCATTATTCTAACATATCATTCTAACATATAATAATAATACAAATAGCTTCATTTGTTAGACTAGCTAGAGATCAAACTAGTTAAATTAGGAAATTGAAGTAATTGTTTTATTTTCAAATTCTTTCATTGTATACAAATTTTTAGGTTCATTAGTCAATATTATTTTTGGATTGGTTTTTAATATTGGCAATAATCATTTTCAAGGGATACTGGAGGAAGTTTCAAAAAATTTAAATTATGGTAAAAATAAAAAATACATATAGGAGTGCTCAAAAACAAAATGCTCCTGTAGGACTACATACGGGAGCACTCTATAAAAGAGCGCTTCGATAAGTTGTATACAGGAGTGCTCTTGGCATGAGCGCTCCCGTATATGAGGCATATAGGAGCGCTCTTTTCCTGAGCACTCCCATATGCCCATAAGTTCACATATTAAGAGCGCTTTATTTTGATATATATGACAGCGCTTTTATAAAAGCGCTCCTATAAGACACCTCTACGGGAGTGCTTTATAAGGCGCTCCTATATATATAGGAGCGTTGGATACAAGAGCACTTACAAAGCACTCCAAAAGGTTGAAAATAAGCGTTCTTGTAGGGTTATTTTGTAGTAGTGCCAGTTTTTCCTAATACTAATAACCATGGGGTGTCGTACCCTTAATCTAGCCTTCTCATGAACCGGTGGAGACTAATTAGGTTTAAATCCCTTGTAGATCAAGTGGGACAATCTCAAATCAACCATAGGACAAGGGCTACCTATCGATTCTAACAGTTGATGCCAAGGCTAGTTCCCTATTCCAATGGTCACTACTAATACCATATAGATTTAAATCAATTTTCTCCTCTCTCTAGGCGAACTCCCGTCAGTGATCATGCTATGCACATTTCTCACATGATATGCATTTTAACAATCAATTCATAGTACATG